GGGCCATAGTTCCCCCATGCTGGCTGAGGAATTCTGGGAGTTGAAGTCCATGAGTCATGAAGGGCCATAGTTCCCCCATGCTGGCTGAGGAATTCTGGGAGTTGAAGTCCATGAGTCATGAAGGGCCATAGTTCCCCCACGCTGGCTCAGGAATTCTGGGAGTTGAAGTCCACAAGTCATAAAAGGGCCAGGTTTAAAGACCCCGGCACTAGATCATTGGATGACTGGGTTTAAGGGTCTGTGTAACCTATTACTTTATTAATTAAATGCATAGACCACATCTCATTATTCTAGCAACTGAAAGGTTTACAAAACGATAAAAAACGTGATTAAAATGATGAAAGAATAAATAGAATGCAGGCAACGGGGGAGGATCTACTCTCTACTCTTTCAGCCACTCCCAGCGTAAAGCACCCCGATTGGGACCCCAAGCCAGACGGCAGAGCCTGGTTTTAAGGCTCTTCCAGAAAGCCGGGAAGTTGGGGACCAAAGTCACCTCTGGTGGGACAATATTCCAAAGGGCAGGGGCCACGACAGAAAAGGCTCTTCTTCTAGACCCCAACAGCCAGAATTCTTTGGCAGATGGGATCCGAAGTAGGACTTGTCCGTTGGGAGTGATGGGCTGGGCTACTCCAGGGGTAGGCAACCTTGGCTCTTTTATGACTCGTGGACTTCAACTCCCAGAATTCCTGAGCCAGCATGGCTCAGCTTGGAAACCTCTCCCTTTCCCCTCAGCGTGGCTGGCTCAGGAATTCTGGGAGTTGAAGTCCACCAGTCATAAAAGAGCCAAGGTTGCCTACCCCTGGGCCAGTCCCCTTGGGGTTATACCCTGGACCCAGGCCATAAAGGGCTTTAAAGGGGATAACAACACCTTGAATTGGACCCAGGAGCAAATTAGCAACCCTTGCAGGTCACCCAACAGGGTGTTACATTTGCCACTTGAGGGGCCTCCAGCAATGTCCCTGCCATCGCTTCCTGTTCCAGTTGTAAGCTTCCGAATACTCTTCCAGGGCAGCCCCAAGGAGAGCGCACTGCAGCAATCCATCTGATCAGGGCATGAGTGACTGTGCACAGGACCTCATGGTCCAGAGAAAGGCCCAACACGAAGTTGCACAAAGGCTCTCCTAGCCACGATGGCCAAATTTAACCAGTGAGCAAGTTTTTAAGCTTCTGAATAATCTCGTGAGGGGGCTCCATGAAGTAACCTCAACGTAACTAGGTGGCAGGCGTGTAATAAAGCAGGATGCAGCCGACTGAGCAAAACAAGAGGAAGGGCGCACGCTTCTGGGGAAATCTCCTACCTGCCTGTCATGGCGTCGCCTTAGAAGTCCCGTTTCCAGCAGGCCTGTACAAAAGAGAAACCGGAAAGCTATTAAGAGAGACACACATCAACACAGCTTAATAAACCTGGTTTGGGCACGAGCGATATTACAATCCATGTGTCGCACTTCCCCTACTGCAGGTTTGCTCAGGATCTCCATCTGTCCAAAGAGAGAAGCAATCTGGAATTAAGGAGAAACTTCCTGACATTGAGGATAATTAACCAGTGGAACAGGCTGCCACCAGAAATCGTGGGCGCTCCATCACTGGAGATTTAAGGGATTGGGCATTCACCTGTCTGTGACAATATAGGTTAAACGGGGCTGGACTAGAAGACCTCCAAGGTCCCTTCCATCTCTATTCTATTCCTTTCATTTTAGAAAAGGCATCATTCAAGGCTTAAAATAGTGGGTTTTTTTCAAGCTCCGCCAGCTTGAAGACGGGTGGACTTCAATTCCCAGAATTCCCTAGCCAGAATTCTGGGAGTTGAAGTCCATCTGTCTTCAAGTTGGCAAAACTGAGACACACTGGTCTAAATGCACTGAATTCACACCCCTACTATCAATATGGACATCACCTTCTCAAGAAAAATGGAAACTGGTCAAGGAGAGAAGCAACTTAGAACTAAGGAGAAACTTCCTGACAGTGAGAACAATTAACCAGTGGAACTACCTGCCTCCAGAAGCGGTGAATGCTCCAACACTGGAAGTTTTTAAGAAGAGACTGGACAGCCATTTGTCTGAAATGGTGTAGGGTTCCTGCCTGAGCAGGGGGTTGGACTCGATGACCTCCATGGTCCCTTCCAACTTTATTATTATTATTATTATTATTATTATTATTATTATTATTATTGTAAATGCGAGTAGGGGAAACGAGACACCTGTAACTCACCAATGCATTCTTTGCACACTCCTTAAGGGCTGAATCTGAACCCATGACTTCCCTCCCCTATTCCGGCCTCTAACAGCCTTCCCCAAAACCAGAACAACAACTAAATATCCCCCCACCAATTGTCCATCCCATTTCTCTACAGAAATTAAGTCGCAGGACGACACCATATTATAGACTTCCATGCCCTGCAAAACTCTACTGTGCACATTTTTTGACACTTAAAAAAAAATAGCCGACAAGATAAAAGGTGGAACTGGCTTGCGTGAAGTCAGAATCTGATGTGCAGATGTATACAATTCACACGCACTGGGCAGCCTGTCTCTTATAGGTGTTTGTAATATCGCCTATTTTTTATTTATTGCATTTATGTGCTGCATATTTCACTGTGAAATGTTAATTAGCAACAGCTTTCCAGAGTTTCAGGCAGACGTCTTATATTTTATTTATTAAATGTATTTGCCGCCCATCTCACCCCGGGGTGACTTTGGGTGGCTTACAATGTTAAAAAGAATAAAACAAATGCATGCACGCGTTACCCTCGATGTGTGAAATTTAGGCCTTTTATAGAATGCCTAGGAAATCTACAGAATACCAAAATTGGGATGTCAAAGTAGGAAACGTTTCATGCGAGGCATTCTATGCAGGACCAAAAGGCAAACTGGTAAAGTATAAAATATTCCCACTAAAATGCCATTCTAACCTTCCTTGTTGCAACAAGTATACTGGTCAATACTGGATTTTTTCCCCTCTCGTTTATTTTCAGTCAGAAAATCCTGTACTTTATTTTGCATATCTTGTTTCACTTTCATACGCAGTAGTCTTTTCCATAAAGCCTAACCCTAAATCTTTTCATGACTTTTTCGTATTTTGCCTAAATACCTGTTGTTATTCTTCTGCATAACGCCTATGTATTATATACAATGCCTAGGGCAGAGGTAGGCAACCTTGGCTCTTTTATGACTCGTGGACTTCAACTCCCAGAATTCCTGAGCCAGCTGCTGGCTCAGGAATTCTGGGAGTTGAAGTCCACGAGTCATAAAAGAGCCAAGGTTGCCTACCTCTGCCCTAGGCATTGTATATATAGCATATAAGTCCCTTGTCTGAAATGGTATAGGGCAGGGGTTTTCAAACNGGCTGAGGAATTCTGGGAGTTGAAGTCCGCAAGTCATGAAGGGGCCATAGTTCCCCCATGCTGGCTGAGGAATTCTGGGAGTTGAAGTCCGCAAGTCATGAAGGAGCCATAGTTCCCCCATGCTGGCTGAGGAATTCTGGGAGTTGAAGTCCGCAAGTCATGAAGGGGCCATAGTTCCCCCACGCTGGCTGAGGAATTCTGGGAGTTGAAGTCCGCAAGTCATGAAGGGCCCATAGTTCCCCCACGCTGGCTGAGGAATTCTGGGAATTGAAGTCCGCAAGTCATGAAGGGACCATAGTTCCCCCACGCTGGCTGAGGAATTCTGGGAGTTGAAGTCCACGCGTCATAAAAGGGCCAAGTTTGAAGACCCCTGCACTAGATCATTAGATGACCTGGTTTAAGGGTCTGTGTAACCTATTATTTTATTAATTAAATGCATAGACCACATCTCATTATTCTAGCAACTGAAAGGTTTACAAAACGATAAAAAACGTGATTAAAATGATGAAAGATTAAACAGAACGCAGGCAACGGGGGAGGATCTACTCTCTACTCTTTCAGCCACTCCCAGCGTAAAGCACCCCGACTGGGACCCCAAGCCAGCCAGACAGCAGAGCCCAGGTTTTAAGGCTCTTCCGGAAAGTCGGGGGCCAAACTCACCTCTGGTGGGAGAATATTCCAAAGGGCAGGGGCCACGACAGAAAAGGCTCTTCTCCTAGACCCCAACAGCCAGAAATCTTTGGCAGATGGGATCCGAAGTAGGACTCGTCCGTTGGGAGTGATGGGGTGGGCTAGTCCAGGGGTAGGCAACCTTGGCTCTTTTATGACTCGTGGACTTCAACTCCCAGAATTCCTGAGCCATCATGGGGGAACTATGGCCCCTTCATGACTCGTGGACTTCAACTCCCAGAATTCCTGAGCCAGCATGGCTCAGCTTGGAAACCTCTCCCTTTCCCCTCAGCGTGGCTGGCTCAGGAATTCTGGGAGTTGAAATCCACAAGTCATAAAAGAGCCAATGTGATAACCAACACCTGGAATTGGACCCAGGAGCAAATTAGCAACCCTTGCAGGTCACCCAACAGGGTGTTACATTTGCCACTTGAGGGGCCTCCAGCAATGTTCCTGCCATCGCTTCCTGGACCAGTTGTAGCTTCCGAATACTCTTCCAGGGCAGCCCCAAGGAGAGCACACTGCAGCAATCCAACTGATCAGGGCATGAGTGACTGTGCACAAGACCTCATGGTCCAGAGAAAGGCCCAACATGAAGTTGCACAAAGGGTCTCCTAGCCATAATGGCCACATTTAACCAGTGAACAAGTTTTTAAGCTTCTGAGTAATCTCGTGAGGGGGCTCCATGAAGTAACCTCAACGTAACTAGATGGCAGGCGTGTAATAAAGCAGGATGCAGCCGACTGAGCAAAACAAGAGGAAGGGCGCACGCTTCTGGGGAAATCTCCTACCTGCCTGTCATGGCGTCGCCTTAGAAGTCCCGTTTCCAGCAGGCCTGCAGAAAAGAGAAACAGGAAGCTATTAAGAGAGACACACATCAACATAGCTTAATAAACCTGGTTTGGGCATGAGCAATATTACAATCCACGTGTCGCACTTCCCCTACTGCAGGTTTGCTCAGGAGCTCCATCTGTCCAAAGAGAGAAGCAACCTGGAAATAAGGAGAAACTTCCTGACATTGAGGATAATTAACCAGTGGAACAGGCTGCCACCAGAAATCGTGGGCGCTCCATCACTGGAGATTTTCAAGAGATTGGGCATTCACCTGTCTGTGACAATATAGGTTAAACTGGGGGCTGGACTAGAAGACCTCCAACATCCCTTCCATCTCTATTCTATTCCTTTCATTTTAGAAAAGGCATCATTCAAGGCTTAAAATAGTGGGTTTTTTTCAAGCTCCGCCAGCTTGAAGACGGGTGGACTTCAATTCCCAGAATTCCCTAGCCAGAATTCTGGGAGTTGAAGTCCATCTGTCTTCAAGTTGGCAAAACTGAGACACACTGGTCTAAATGCACTGAATTCACACCCCTACTATCAATATGGACATCACCTTCTCAAGAAAAATGGAAACTGATCAAGGAGAGAAGCAACCTAGAACTAAGGAGAAACTTCCTGACAGTGAGAACAATTAACCAGTGGAACCACCTGCCTCCAGAAGCTGTGAATGCTCCAACACTGGAGGTTTTTAAGAAGAGACTGGACAAGCATTTGTCTGAAATGGTGTAGGGTTCCTGCCTGAGCAGGGGGTTGGACTCGATGACCTCCATGGTCCCTTCAAACTTTATTATTATTATTATTATTATTATTATTATTACTACTACTATTATTATAATTATTATTATAATAAATGCGAGTAGGGGAAACGAGACACCTGTAACTCTACCATGCATTCTTTGCACGCTCCTTAAGGGCTGAATCTGAACCCATGACTTCCCTCCCCTCTCCCGGCCTCTAACAGCCTTCCCCAAAACCAGAACAACTGCTCAATATCCCCCCACCAATTGTCCATCCCATTTCTCTACAGAAATTAAGTTGCAGGACGACACCATATTATAGACTTCCATGCCCTGCAAAACTCTACTGTGCACATTTTTTGACACTTAAAAAAAATAGCCGACAAGATAAAAGGTGGAACTGGCTTGCGTGAAGTCAGAATCTGATGTGCAGATGTATACAATTCACACGCACTGGGCAGCCTGTCTCTTATAGGTGTTTGTAATATCGTCTATTTTTTATTTATTGCATTTATGTGCTGCATATTTCACTGTGAAATGTTAATTAGCAACAGCTTTCCAGAGTTTCAGGCAGAGGTCTTATTGTATTTTATTTATTAAATGTGTTTGCCGCCCATCTCACCCCAAGGTGACTTTGGGTGGCTTGCAATATTAAAAAATAATAAAACAAATATATGCACGCATTACCCTCAATGTGTGAAATTTAGGCCTTTCATAGAATGGCTAGGAAATCTACAGAATGCCAAAATTGGGATGTCAAAGTAGGAAACGTTTCACACGAGGCATTCTATGCAGGACCAAAAGGCAAACTGGTAAAGTATAAAATATTCCCACTAAAATGCCATTCTAACCTTCCTTGTTGCAACAAGTATACTGGTCAATACTGTTTTTTTCCCTCTCATTTATTTTCAGTCAGAAAATCCTGTACTTTATTTTGCATATCTTCTTTCATTTTCATACGCAGTACGTCTTTTCCATAAAGCCTAACCCTAAATCTTTTCATGACTTTTTCGTATTTTGCCTAAATACCTGTTGTTATTCTTCTGCATAACGCCTATGTATTATATACAATGCCTAGGGAAGAGGTAGGCAACCTTGGCTCTTTTATGACTCATGGACTTCAACTCCCAGAATTCCTGCTGGCTCAGGAATTCTGGGAGTTGAAGTCCACGAGTCATAAAAGAGCCAAGGTTGCCTACCTCTGCCCTAGGCATTGTATATATAGCATATAAGTCCCTTGTCTGAAATGGTATAGGGCAGGGGTTTTCAAACTTGGCCCTTTGATGACTTGTGGACTTCAACTCCCAGAATTCCTCAGCCAGCGTGCCTGGCTAAGGAATTCTGGGAGTTGAAGTCCACAAGTCATCAAAGGGCCACGTTTGAAGATCCCAAGGTCCCTTCCAGCTCTAGTCTATTGTAGATATTAAAAACAGCAACAGATATTTCAATCCTTTGCCTGAAAACGTCACATCTTCTATAGATTTCTCAGGCGTTCTGTACAACGCCAGGAACATATACAAGAAGAGTAAAATACTATTAAAATACAAATTATCGGCTATAACTTCGTGCTCGCCTGCTGTGCCAGGTAAGAGCCCACGGAAAACACTTAAGATGTTGAGACTCTGGAAAGAGTGCAGAGAAGAGCACCAAAGATGATCAGGGGACTGGAGGCTCAAACGTATAAGGAACGGTTGCTGGAATTGGGTACAATTTAATTGGGTATTAAATTGCAGTTTAACGAAGAGAAGGACGAGGGGGGACATGATAGCAGCCTTCCAGTATCTCAGGGGCTGCCCCAAAGAAGAGGGAGTCAAGCTATTCTCCAAGGCACCAGAAGGCAGAAGAAGCAACAGATGGAAACTCATCAAGGAGAGAAGCAACCTGGAACTAAGGAGAAACTTCCTGACAGTTAGAACAATTAACCAGTGGAACCACCTGCCACCAGAAGTGGTGAATGCTCCAACACTGGAACCTTTTAAGAAGAGACTGGACAGCCATTTGTCCGAAATGGGATAGGGTTTCCTGCCTGAGCAGGGGATTGGACTAGATGACCTCCAAGGCCCCTTCCAACTTTTATTATCATTATTATTATTATTATTATTATTATTATTATTATTATTATTATTATTATTATATAGAACTAAGGAGAAACTTCCTGACAGTGAGAACAATTAATCAGTGGAACAACCTGCCTCCAGAAGCGGTGATTGCTCCAACACTGGAAGTTTTTAAGAAGAGACTGGACAGCCCTTTGTCCGAAATGGTATAGAGTTTCCTGCCTGAGCAGGGGGTTGGACTAGATGACCTCCAAGGTCCCTTCCAACTTTTATTAGTATTATTAAATAGGTTCTCATGGGTACTAGTTATGGCAGTTAGTAATAAGTTAGTAATAACTACTGCCATAATAATATGGCAGCAATGACTGCCATAACTAGTCGCCACGAGATGCTTTTTAGTGTTTTGCGTGGCCTCTTAACCTGGCCCAGCAGGCGAGCACGAAGTTACAGCTAATGATTATATTATCATCATTGTGGGGAATAGGGTTTCCTGCCTGAGCAGGGGGTTGGACTAGATGACCTCCAAGGTCCTTTCCAACTTTATTATTATTATTATTATTATTCTTAAAGCCACAATGGACCCTCCAAGTCCAGAGGCAGTCTATCTTTGAGGACAGGGGATTAGCAGAGGGGGGAATCTCGTCTGATCGAGGCTGCGTGGAAAGGGAAGGGACCCCCCCGGTCCCCCCCCCCCAATCCAGGCCCGAGGAGAGCCCCGCATCCCGGCCTCCCTTCCCAGACTGCAGAGCAACGAGAGTCCTCGCCCACTCCTAGAGCGGATCTCGCGTCTCCAGAGCAGGCCCGGGTGCCGCCGGCATCCAGCCGGCATCCCAGCCATCCTTGTCCGTGTCCGCCGCCAGACCCGCCCGGTCCCACCGGCCGGCCCTTCCGCCCGCTCCCGCGCCGTGCTTCCCCGCGCCCCTCCCTGCCAACACCCGCCGACCGGCCGCCGACGCAGCCCTCACCTCCGCAGCGGCGACCCAAAATGGCGGCGACGAGAAAGGAAAAGGAGGGCGAGCCGCGAGGCACGCCGGGACAGGCACTCGAGAAGGCCCCCCCCACGCCTCCTCGCCGGTCGTTTTTCATGAGGCGGCTATCGGATTTGCCTGACAGAATTCCTTCGGCCCGGGAACGTTTCTTGGGCTCGCCTCGCTTTGTTATTCGGTCGTTTGTTTTTAAGCCATTTTTGCCCCCTGCTCTCTCAGGCCCAGGGAGGTATTTGGCGCCCTCGGAGTTGTTAAAAGGCCGTCCTACAATTTACAGGAATTTATGTAGCCGCCTTAATCTCGGTTAGGGCCCCTTCGGACGCTTTCTGGTAACCATGGCGACCCCCTCTTTCCTGCGGAGGGAGTCCGTGTGAGTCTCCCCGCAAATCCCCGAAACGGTTTCGCGGTTTCGGGGTCCCCCGGTGCTCCTCGCTAGGTCGGGAAAGGCCTTTTCGCCCCAGCTACGTGGCAGCCCCTCGCTGGCCGAGAAAGGGTCCGACTGGGTTGGTCCTCGGATGGGAGACCACCAGGAGATCCCAGGATAGAGGGGGAAATTTGATGTGGATTTGTGACTACTACTGCCCTAAGCAGCATATAAAATCAAGAGCCACGGCCGGTGCAATATATACATTTAAGGTCAAGGGGCAGCTTTTGGCTGATCTCAATAAGGTAGCCAAGGATTACAGCTGGCTTGTCCTTGGATGGGAGACCACCAGGAGATCCCGGGGATGTAGGAGGCGCTGGGAACTTTTTTTTTTTTTAAAGGCTTTCCTGCTGTGCCTCAGAAAAGATGGCACTTGGGGGCACAAGGGGCCAGCGTTTGCTGTAGGAGCCCCCATCCTTCTTTGTAAAATTTTGCTGTGATATTGACGTATTCTTATTGTTTTCTTTTTCATTGTTTATTCTGTCGTTCTATTATTTTACCTCTATTTTGTTTACCTTTGTTTTCATTTCTTCCTTTTCACTGTTGTAAGCCACCTAGACTAGTAACCCCGTGGCGAGATAGGTGGCAAATAAATAAAATAAAATAAGAAATAATAAAAAATAAGAAATAAAATGATAAAAAATAAATAGTAAATAATAAAATATAAAATATAATAAATAATAAATAAAATAACAAATAACAAATAAAATAAAAAATAAAATAATAAAAAATAAATAAAATAAGAAATAACAAAATAAGAAATAAATAAAATAAATAATAAATAATAAATAATAAAAAAATAAAAAATAAATAAAAAATAAAATAAAAATAAGAAATAAAATAAAAATAAAAAACAATAAATAAATGATAAAATAAATAAAATAATAAAAAATAAAATAAAATAAAGTAATAAAAATAATAAATAAAATAAAAAATAAATAAAATAAATAAAATTAAAAAATAAAATAATAAAAATAAAAAGTAAAATAATAAAATTAAAGTAAAATAAAATAAAGCAAAACAAAATAAAATAAGAACATAATAAAAATAAAATAATAAATAAATGTTTTAAAAAAGAAATAAAATAATAAAAATAAAATAAAAAAATAAATAATATAAAAGAAAAGAAAAAATAAAATAAAATCATACAAAATAAAATTAAATATTCCAAGAGCCTTTAAAACCACAGAAAACCTGAGTGAGGGGGATTGTCTTTCTAGATCGATAGTATCCAGAGTTTCGGTTTTGCAGTGAAAGTGTTTATAAGTACGCTCTGCGCTGATGCTTGAAACACTCCTAGTTTCTGATGGTTGGTGTGATCACTGGGAGGGGTTCCTTCCTTTCGGGCAAAGAGAGAGCCGAGCTTGGAATCTCCGGTAGGCAGGGAGAGAGCGAAGGTAGACGGACCCTCCCTAGCCATTCGCAGCGTACACCTCATAGTTATGCAGAGACTTGCTTTCCTCTGGCAAGATTCTGTCTATAGGCGCGACGACAATAAAAGAGCTCCTTGGAAGCAATGCCACCGGTCGGTCATTCCTGGCTCTTAAGCCCAGCCTGCTCTTTCTTTGGGCCAGGGAATCATGGAACTGGATCAAGAACAGCACCCCCAAACTGCCCCCTCTGGACGCCATTCGGCTTTCCGCTGTCCTGGAAGACTGCACGGACCAGCTGACCATCCTCGGCTGCATCATGCCCGTCTCCTACGAGGGAAGGAAAGACGTGGAGGATGTGAGTGCCCGCGCCGGGTTGTGAACGAGCGACTGATAAATGTTCCATTATTCAGGATGAAGGAACTGACCTGGAAGGTGTAGTACAGGGCTTTTCAACCTATTCACCCATTGTACCACTTTTAGGATATGGGATTATCCGAGTACCACCAGTCGCCTAGCAAGGTGTCAAAAACTTGATGACCAAAAAAAAAAAAAGGAAAAAAGTGATAAAGTACAGCTAGTCCTCGACTTACAACAGTTCACTTAGTGACTGTTCGAAAAAAGTGCCCCCCAAGGCACAGCCGAGCAAGACACCTACCTGCCTGCCTGGCGGCGCTCTTCCTCCTGTCCGAGGTTTTCATTGTTGTGAGCATTTCTGTTGAGGATTGGCAGCGGGGGTGGGGTGGGGGTTGTTTGGTTTTTATTCCCCCCCGTCTGCTGGGTGGTTGCAGCAGGTTTTGGTCACTTCACATGACCCTGGGACACTGTGACCGTCATAAATACGAATCAGTTGCCAAGCATCTGAATGTAAATCACAAGACCCTGGAGAGGCTGCAACATTCCAGCTGATCGGCGCTTCTTCTGGGCTCAGCAGAAGTGTCAGGATCAGCGCTGAGCTCCAGCTGGATCCTGGCGCTGATCCTGGCGCTTCCACTGAGCCCTGACAGCCCTGCAGCTCCAGCCGTCTCTCGCTCAGGCTTGTGCAGTGCTGCCACCGGTTCTGCTCATTCCCCTCCCCAGCTACTTTTCTAGGATGGTCGCGTACCACCTGCCAGGTGCCAATGTACCACAGGTGGTACCCGTACCACTGGTTGAAAAGCCCTGGTCTAGAAGACATGTGGCTGGGAAAAGGGGCACAACCACCTACCAACTTTGTGTGCCGGGATGTGGTCCAGGCAGGCCAGAGAAGAGGGTGGAGCGGAAGATCCTGTGATCAACAGGATTTCCTTCTCACTGATCTAGCCAACCCTCTAGTAGGTTTCACTGTTGGCTGCTGTGGTTGGATAATTCTAAGTCTTCACCTCGTTGCAAACCTACGGCCATTTATTGACTTATTCAGTGACTTTTTTTCAGAACTTTTTTTCCTAGCAGGCCAAGTCCAGCAGGTGGCGGTGGAGGACAATTTTTCAACCTCTGGAGTACAGGTAATCTAGGCATCTTCAAACTTGGCTGCTTTAAGACTTGTGGACTTCAATTCCCAGAATTCCTCAGCCAGCCATGCTGGCTGAGGAATTCTGGGAGTTGAAGTCCACAAGTCTTAAAGCAGCCGAGTTTGGAGACCCCTGGCTTAGGACCACAACTGACACACACACACACCCAATTTCTCCAGTGTTTCTCAACCTGGGCCACCTTAAGAGGGGTCGACTTCAACTCCCAGAATCCCCCAGCCGGTTGTGCTGGCTTAGGGGATTCTGGGAGTTGAAGTCCATCCTTCTTCAACTTGCCAAGATTGAGCGGTACCAGCTCTGGCCTATTTCGAAGGCCTCCTTCCCACGTCTTTCGTTGCCTCTCCTTCAGCTCAACGAACGAGGCATGCAGGACATCCTGACCAGCCAGCAAGAGCTGAGTGCGAAATACAGGCACCTCATGGACAAGAGGGCCGAGAGCCTGGGTAAGATTCCCGTCGAGCTGGGCAAAGTGGCGGAAATTCGGTGGCAGCTCTTGGACACCAGCTCTGACCTGAAGCGGTCCAACCATCTCTTCACCATGGCCACCAGGCAGAGCGTTCTGTCCACAGATGTCCTTCAGAAGGTTCAGGCGGACAGGTAGGACTCCAGGTGGAGAATGGAATATGGAATATGGAATGGAATAGAAGCTGAAAGGGACCTTGGAGGTCTTCTAGTCTTCTTCTTCTCCTCCTCCTCCTCCTCCTTCTCTTCCACCTCCCTTCTAGCACTGATGATGTAACCCTGTTGGGTCATGAAACGCCTGCAAGAAAACCACCCAGCTCAGAGAGCACCAAGGACCCCATAGTCTTCCTCCTCCTCCTCCTCCTCCTCCTCCTCCTCCTCACTTCTAGCACTGATGATGTAACCTAGTTGGGTGATGAAATGTCTGTAAGAAAACCACCAAGCTCAGAGAGCACCAAGGACACCACAGTCTCCTCCTCCTCCTCCTCCTCCCTTTAAGCACTGATGATGTAACCTAGTTGGGTCATGAAAGGTCTGCAAAAAACCCACCAAGCTCAGAGAGCATCAAGGACCCCATAGTCTTCCTCCTCCTCCTCCTCCTCCTCCTCCTCCTCCTCCCTTCTAGCACTGATGATGTAACCTAGTTGGGTCATGAAATGTCTACAAAAAAAACACCAAGCTCAGAGAGCACCAAAGACCCCACAGTCCTCCTCCTCCTCCTCCCTTCTAGCACTGATGATGTAACCTAGTTGGTTGATGAAACGTCTCCAAGAAACCCACCCAGCTCAGAGAGCACCAAGGACCCCCCCCCCACTTCTGAGCCCCCTTTCTGCTGGGCCATCGAGCTGACCCCTTCCCGTCTCCTCCCGGTAGGCAATACTCGAGCAACGTGCTGGAAGGCACCATGGATGAAATGCTGATGCTGAGGACCTTCCGCACCCTGCAGTTGGCCGTGACAATGGAAAGGGACAAGAAGACCAATCTTCAGAACCTGGTCCTCAGGTCGCCTCTTCCCTCTTCCTTCACTCCGACTGCTTTGCTGCCAGGGGTCTCGCCCGGAGACACGGCCTGCAGTGCCTTTGGCTTGGGAGGGCAGATCAGAACAGAGAGGGGTCTGTCTTTGTGTGTATGTAGGTGTGATAGAGATAGATAGATAGATAGATAGATAGATAGATAGATAGATAGATAGATAGATAGATAGATAGATAGAGAGAGAGAGAGAGAGAGAGAGAGAGAGAGACAGACAGACAGACAGACAGACAGACAGACAGATAGATAGACAGATAGAGATAAAGACATGATAGATGGATAGATGAATCAAGATGTGATCTTGATTCTATGCCTCTCTTTATGCAACCCAGGATTGTATTAGTGTAAATGGGCTGAAGCGGATGGCTGGGGCCAAAGGAGGCACGGCCAAGGGTCCGTGCCTAACCGTCCCATTCCGGAATGGCACACCTACTTAAAACTAGCTGTGCCCCTAGTTCAGGGGTAGGCGACCTTGGCTCTTTTATGACTTGTGGACTTCAACTCCCAGAATTCCTGAGCCAGCATGGGGGAACTATGGCCCCCTCATGACTTGTGGATTTCAATTCCCAGAATTCCTGAGCCAGCATGAGGGAACTATGGCCCCTTCATTGAATTGAATTGAATTTATTGAATTTATATACCGCCCTATCTCCCTTACGGGACTCAGGGCGGTGACTTGTGGACTTCAACTCCCAGAATTCCTCAGCCAGCATGGGGGAACTATGGCCCCTTCATGACTTGCGGACTTCAACTCCCAGAATTCCTGACCCAGCATGAGGGAACTATGGCCCCTTCATGACTTGCGGACTT